ATTTTCATTGCAGGTTGGCTACACCTGTGGAGGAGTTCCTCTAGGTGGTCATCATACAGCAAATCTTATCCGAAGAAATCGAGCTTCTCTGCCTTATTATGATCTATTTAGAGCTTCCGAACATGATTTTAAACTACCTTATTTTTTATCTGTTTAGGGCCAACATGAAATGATGGAGGATAAAGTTGACTTGACAAAGGGCAATGAATTCTGTTTTTAAATCCTATAAACATGCAGAAACTATATTTCATCAACTTGCTTGTTTCCAACTTCTTGTTTCTAACTTCTTCCTATACTTTCTAGTCTTTTTCCATTCCTAAACATGAAGCCAACTTCGTAATTTATTCTTATTCACTTCTTTACCTCGTCATAAATCAGATGTTCTCTTGTTTTTAATAATTATATTTTATTATGCTCATTTAACCGGTAGGAGATTGAGGCGCTCAAGTTGTTGGCCCAACAACTGGGGGGTATCGATCTTCATCTGGGGGACGAAAATCAGTTGCGTCGGCTGATGCAAGATGAAAAACTTCGGTCGACCGAAACTATTCGGCTCAAAAAGCTGCATTTGGATCTGTTGAAGCAGGATTTGGCCATGGAGGCTATGTATGATGAAGATTTTACGCGGTCTGCGATGGTGATGCAGTGGGGTCAGTTCCTGGACCATGATCTGGATTTTACACCGGTTGATGCCTCAATTAGTCGATTTAGCGACGGCTTAGGCTGCAATGAGACATGCGTCAACGACCCGCCCTGCTTCCCTATCCTAGTGCCCCCGGGCGACCCGCGCATTCGGTATCGTTGTATCGGCTTTTCCAGGTCCAGCGCCACCTGCGGCTCAGGATCCACCTCCATTCTACTAGGTCGGCCGCACCATCGTGAGCAGTTGAACCAAATAACAGCATTTATCGATGCCTCCAATGTGTATGGCAGTGACGAGTTTGATGCAAACCAATTGCGTGATCTCGTTTATGATGAAGGCAAATTACGTGTTGGCATGCCAACCGCCTTTAATAAACCTCTACTGCCATTCAACATACGTGGCCAAGTAAGCACGATGTAAATAAAAAGATGTGAATTTCTGCAATGCCTCAAACTCTTCGATTATGTACAAATCACCCTTTTTTGAGCCAAATTTCATTTCAGATAAAAAAATGTAATGAAAGATTCATAGATTAGCTTCACCAGATCACTGCAGTTCATTTTCTTTGGATAAGCTTGAATGCCACTTTCGATATTGTAAGGCTATACAGGAATGATAATTGAATTGTCTAAAATGATAGAAATAGGATGTACGTTTTAATTGGATTTTTCTTAGCCTTACTTCCTAAAAGGTTTTCATATCCTGGCTGACAACTTGCAATTCCGATCTTGCCTAGGTCTCATCAATACTCCCTGAAGGACTCGAACTTGGGCAGTCTAGTATGTCGTGATTGGGCGCAACTACTTGGATTCGATTCCCACCGTGGGCATTGTTGAGACCTAGGCGAGGTTTGAAATTCAGTCCATACTGGATCATAATACATTTTGGGAAGCAATGTCAAATACAATTCAATGAAAACGTGAGGCCTATTTATGTGGATTTTTGTTGGTTTCTTTATTTTCTGGAGACGTTTATGCTGATTCAGCCCAAGGGACACTTTCCTTAAATTTAAGTGGATATTTTCTGAGCTTGAATATCTCATATGGCAGATATCCTGGGAAATTAACCGTATTCTCATAACCGGTGCCAAAAGAGGGTGTCACTAGAACTGCGTTAGCATGAGGGTC